CAACAGGTGAAAAAACTTCATCAAAGTTTCCTTCTTTCTGTATAAATCCTTTCATCACAAGCCTTGCTTTGTGTCGAGTTACTTCCCCTTTCAAATTCGTTTTCACTTTGTATACCCACTTAACATCAATTGCCTTCTTGCCTTGAGGCAATTCGACAAGTGACCAAGTGTTGTTGTCTTCGATAGACTTCACTTCTTCGTTCATTGCTTTCACCCACTTTGAATCCTTCAATGCTTCAGCTGCATTAACAGGTTCGACATCTGCATAGAAAGTATAATGTACCAGCTCACCTTCATCATCTACCACATCATCTGATGTAATCATACAATCTTGGAATCTTGCAGGCACGCGTCTTGTTCATTGAGGTCTTCTTATACTTGGTATATCTGCTGGTTCCTCTTGTCGAACTTCTCTTTCGACTTGAGTTTCTGGTTCTTCGAATAGGATTCCCACTGAATCTTTCTTGATATTTTCAGTCCAATCCCATTCTTTAAACTCATCTATGATCACGCCCCTGCTGATCACAATCTGCTTTTTCACTGGATCGAACAACTTGTAGCCTCCTGTCAAATGATATCCAACTAGAATCATTTGACTTGACTTGTCATCAAGTTTTCTTCTCAACTGATCTAGCACATGTCTATGTGAAATAGATCCAAATACCTTCAGATGACTCAAGCTAGGCTTCACACCAGACCAACATTCTTCTAGAGTAATTCCTTCTAGCTTCTTTGTAGGACATCTGTTCAAAATGTATGTTGCAGTCGAAACAACTTCACCCCAAAACTCTTTAGGTAAATTTTTTCCTTTCAACATACTTCTCACCATATTCATGATGGTTCGATTCTTCCTTTCAGCAATTCCATTTTGTTGTGGAGTATAGGGTGGCACCACCTCATGCACAATCCCTTCCTTTTCACATAGCCTGTCGAAGTCTTTCGACACATATTCTCCACCACCATCAGTTCTCAAAACTTTGAGCTTTCGACCACTTTGTCTTTCAACCATAGACTTAAACTTGACAAATACTTCGATCACTTCACTTTTCTTCTTGATCAGTTAAGTCCACAACTTTCGACTGAAATCATATATGAATGTAACAAATTATTTGTTACCTTCGATCAAATCCACCTGGATTGGTCCACATACATCAGAGTATATGACTTCAAGACTAGCCTTCGACCTGCTTCCTGCATCCTTGCTGAAGTTGTTCTTGTGTTGCTTCGCCTGCACACATTCCTCACATACTTCATTTGGAATGTCAATTTCAGGCAATCCTGAAACCATATTTTTTCTCTTAAAGTCTCTGATGTCTCTGGAGTTGAGATGGCCTAGTCTATAATGCCATATCCATTCATCTCTGCTAGCTGCAGTCGAAAGGCACTTGTGCTCCATCACATTTAGTTCAATCTTGAAGGTTCGATTCTAAGACATAGGAACCTTCAAGATTAATCTCCCATTTGCATCAACGACTCTCATTATCTTATCTTCGATTGGCACTTTATAATTCTTTTCGACCAACTGCCCTATACTGAGAAAATTTCTCTTCATGCCTGGTATGTACAATACATTGGAAATTACTGACCTCTTTCCATCTTTCCTCATAATCATAAAATCACCAATACCTTCAGCTACTAGGGTATTGTCATTTGCAAATTTTACCATATTTTTTGTTGAGGGCTTTATGTTGACATACCAGTCTTTCCTTCCAGACATATGTGATGAACATCCTGAATCCAAGTACCATTGGTCCTTGAATCTATCTTCATATTTTGTTGTGACCGTCAGCATCATCTCTTCTTCTTCATGTTTTGCAAGTTTGCATCACTTTCTTGATTCTTTCGTTTTTCTGGACAATCACTCAAATAGTGGCCATACTTCTGACAATTGTAACATTGAATGTGACTCTTATCAGGTTTTCGACCACCACGTCTTCCTCTATTTGCAACATCACCTCTTTGGTTGCCTTGATATGGATTTCTTTGATTCGGCACGTTTCTTTCGATCTGATTTCCTCTACCATTCGATTTGTTGTAGCCACCTCTACCTCTGTCGAAACACTTTCCTTTGTCATTGGTCTCTTTTGCTGAATGTGCCTGCAAGGCCACATCACTCTTCGATTTTCCTACAGCTCTTTCGTTCATTCTTTGTTCATGAGATTCAAGCGTCCCTTGAAGCTCTTCCTTTGTCAATTTTGACAAGTCTTTCCCCTCTTCTATCGCCACCACTATGTGGTCGAACTTAGGAGCTAAAGATCTCAAGATCCTCGAAACAACATCTCTTGTTGTTAATGTTTCTCCACATGCCTTGATTTGATTCACTAGTTTTGTAACTCTAGTGAAGAAATCAGATATGCTCTCACTATCTTCCATCTGGAGCAATTCATAGGTTCTCTTGTAATTTTTAACCTCACTTCTTTTACCTTTTCCGCACCTCCAAAGGACTTCTCAAGAACGTCCCAAGCTTCTTTTGCAGATTCTGAATCACTCATTTTTTCAATGTTTTCTGGAATCAGACATTGATGAATTATAAAGAGCGCTTTATAACTCAACTTCTCAATTTTTATGTATTTCTTCTTTTCTTCTTCTGAAGCGTTTTCTCCAAGCGCTTCGACTCAATCTTTTACAAGGTCCCAAAGACCTTGACACCTGAATAAGACTTTCATCTGTTTGCACCAATTCTCATAGTTGTCTACTTTTAGAATTGATAGAGTTGCTGGATAATTTACATTCTCATAATTCGCCATCATGAATTCTTCAATCGTTCTTGATTGACACTTTCCTCGAATCGAAACAAAAGATCTTGATACCAAATGTTGGAAACTCACTAAAGTCTATGATGAATTTCTACCACAATGACAATTTAATTATGAGACAAACAAAGAATGAAGACAAGATAAATAATTTCTACAGAGGTTCTCTCTGCTCACAAACTGTGAAAACTTTATTATTCACTTTGCAACTGCAAAATACTGTGAATGACTTGCTTGACTTGCTTACAAAAATAGGGGTTACTCCCTCTATAACTGAGCTTACACCCTAAACCCAAAGCCTGAAATATCTATTTTATTACTAAATCAAATCTAATCTATTCTAGACTTAAATCAAATCTATTTAAATCTAAAATAAATCTAATCCTTTCGACATTATGAATTACAATTTAACAATATCAATGAGTCGGTTTAGACAAATCAACTAATTTTCGGGTTGGGTTGAATTGGGTATTGGATTGCCTATTTTTTTCCTTCTGTTTTATTAGAATTAAATTATGAGTCATTATACTTTTTTCATAAAAATTATTCAACATTTTTATCTTTTTAAACAAAATTAGATAACCTATTTTTACTATTATTTAACATCATAAAATAATAATAATAACATAAACTAATAAAAATGATCTAAAATACTAGCAATAAACTAAAGTTGCATAATATAATATCGTATAAGCATCAAAATAAGCAAAGAATGAAATATCCAAATTTAGTTAAAGTCATGGTTCACTAAAATAGTAAACGTACAAGATAATAAAATTGAAACAACTAAGTTAATATTAATCAAAATCATTAAAATTATAATAACAAATGTTTGATTAATCAGTGAGTTTTTTGGATTTGGATTCGATTTTATCTGAAACCCGATTTTTTAATGAGTTTTTAGATTTTAAACTCATATTTATCTAATCACCCAACCCAACCCACTTTTATGGATTTTTTTGGGTGGGCTTGACCAGGTTTTATAAGTTGATCCAACCCATATACACCCTTACACATTAGGATTCCACTCCTGCTCTCAGACTAAATGTTCAGGATCCAAAAAATCTTCATGAGTCACATTAGGATGTTGATTCAAAAGACCTTAGCGCCACATATTCACCTAATATTTCATGTGTTTCTAGTCCACGGAGGACTTAACACTCACAATTGAATCCCAAATAATAAGTATTTTATGCCTTAGTGATTTGAACATGTTTAGTCCATAAGTTTTTTTGATTGATTCAAATTTCAATAGGATGATTAAAACATAAAATTGACTAAATAACGTAGTTATATGAAAAATTAATGTTTTAAAACTCGGACCGATCATCGATCCGGTCAAACTATTGAGTCACAAAGTTAATAATTGGATTAATGGATCATTGGTCGGACCACATGAATTATAATAATGTGAAAATATAGTTTTTTTTTTGTAATATGATTTTTTTAAAACTTTTGTTAGTTTATATTATTATATTGTATAATTATTTTCCTAACATTTTAAATTTATTATATTATTATATTATATGATTTATAATAAATAAGTTTAATAATAATTATAATATTTTAATTATATAATATGTAACTTTCTTCTCTTTAATTAAATTAAATATTAAATAAATTTATGGTGCAGTTGGTAAAGTTACAATTCTAATAATTTTAAAAGTTTATACATTTGATTTTTAAAATTTGATAAAATTTCATTTATAAAATTTTAATATTATTTAATTATTATAAATAATTATAAATATTAATAAAATCAGATTTTAAGACAGAGACACTAAAACTTTAGAAAATAAAAGTAGAGGATCAAAATTATAATTAATCTAAAAAAATAAATATAAAAAAAATCAACTTGTCAGATAAAAAAACTCATTAATTCACTGGTCTGACCAGTGAATCGGTCGGTTCACACGGATTTTCATCGGATTAATTACAATAATAGTGTGATGACCTTACCAGACCATTTTATCCTCCGATTCACGGTTTAATCGGTTCGACTGACCAAAACAGTCAGAATTTTAAAACAATGTGAAAAACAATAAACAAATGGCAAACAATAAACAAATGGCTTCACTTGTACATTACATAGCTCAATCATATAAACAAAATCATTTATATTAAACTCAAAATTTTCTTCACATTGTAACAACAGAAGTACAAGAGATCTTCATCATCAATAAACTCAAACCCAGCTCAAGGAAAGAAAATAATAGAAAATAACATAAAAATTCACCATCCCAATACTTACATCCACAAATAAGAAACAACAACATTTGCAGCAAACAATGTAACACCTGCATAGCCATTCAAACCAACAGCACTAGAATCATCAGCCGGACTATCCTTCGATCCTTTCGGAGCATCAGAAGCCCGAACACTTTTCTCCGGCTTAGTCGGTGCAGGCGCCTCCGCAGGCGCAGCCGTCGGTGCTTGTCCAAAAAGTGCCATAGGAAGAAGCACTTGATCAACCTGATAAACTGCAAGCTGACTATCACTATAAATAGTATTAGAAACAGTTGTATCAACCACACCAGTAGTCACGTTAACTTGATTTCCAGAAGTAGTAACATTAAGAGGATACTCTCCATCGTCACTGTTTCCGGCTTGCGTGTGTAAGGGGTTACTAGCAGTTTGAAACTGCGAGATTGTGTAAAGTGTTGGTAGAATATGAAACTGCAAAAGTTGAAGCTGGTTTTGTGTGCTTATCGAGTTTAAAGTTCCTGATTTTAGGTTTGAGAATGCATTATCGGTTGGTGCGAAAATTGTTAAGCCTTGGTTTGAATTGTTGAGCTGCGAATTGATTCGATCGGATACTTGTGTTGCTTTAAGTAGCTTGATGAATGTTGTGAATTGTCCTGCTTTTTCTAGGACTTTTGTTATGTTCAATGGTCCTGATGGGGCTGGAGATATAGCTGTTTGAGCTGAAACTACAATGAAGAATAGGTTGAGGCAGAAAAGAGGAAGGAAATGGAAAAGCTTTGCCATTGCTATGAAAATTTGGACAACTAGAAGAAAAGATTGTGTTTAGTTAGAAGTGGAATGAAGGGTGTGTGGTCACACACATATGTTATATAGTATCTTGTTATGAGAAAATTTGATTGATAATTAAATGTTTGGTGAAATGTTGTGATTGGTATAAGGTGGAAAGAGGCTTTCAAGTAATTGATTTTTTCTTTATGAAGGCAAGATATTGTTTGAAATTCATTTTCTTAGTGAAATGTAATGTTTGTTTGGTTTGTTTTGTTGTAGGGACCATGGCAATAATTTTGACTTGATATTTGCCAAAGATTGTTGAGGTAAGGTATCTTGATCATTTGCTTGTAATGTAAGAAACGTGCTTTATAGAAATTTTTGCTTTGTGTTGAAGTGATTGGGTGGGTGTTAGTTAAGGAGAGACTTGTTTTGATGTAACCCGGCCACATTTTTATATGTTAAGGGTGACTCACCTCTAGCCTAGAAATTTATAAGCTACTTCTAGAACTTGAAAGCTACTAGGATTAGTAAGTATTTCCCATTAAATGTTGTTTTTAAAGAATTTTTTTCTTCATTTAAGTATCATTTTTATAATTTAATATTATAATTTATCAATTATATTCTTACTTTTTCAATAATTTCATTTTATATTTTGTATAAAATTAATTATTTTCTCAATTAGTTATTGAGAAATAGAGAGAGGGTGATTGAATTTATTTGGAAAGAGAAAATAAATGAGAGTATAATATGAAAAATAATTCTAACAATCAACTATCTTGGTTGAAGAGTTTTATGCTAAAATGACATTTAAAAAGGAACGAAGGGAGTAGTTTTTAAATGTAATTTTCTTTCTTTAAACGATTATGTTGATGAAGAAAATTTATCTCTCAATTATGAATTTCTTAATTCTTTTAAAGAGTGTTATATATATATAAGAGGAACAAACACAAAGGAAGGGGATACAAGTCAAAATTTCTAAGAAGTCTTATATCTACAACAAGGGATACCTTGCTTGTTTCTTAAGAAATTCACCTTAATGAAGTCATGATTTTGGTCAAGTTCCTATGAGTAAAGTCGAGACTAGTTAACTTGTCTGCACAAACATTCCCTTATATATGTGTGTGTGTGTGTGTGTGTGTGTGTGTGTGTGTGTGTGTGTGTGTGTGTGTGTGTGTGTGTGTGTGTGTGTGTGTGTGTGTATGTGTGTGTGTGCGTCCATGTGTGTGTGTGTGTGTGTGTGTGTGTGTGTGTGTGTGTGTGTGTGTGTGTGTGTGTGTGTGTGTGTGTGCGTGTGTGCGTGCGTGCGTGCGTGCGTGTGTGTGCGTGTGTGTCAGAGACCAAGAAGTGAATTGCATATGTGATCTTGATACAACCGAACCATCTTGATTTAATATGTCAATGGACTAAGTTGAGATTAGAGAAAGCTTGCACAACAAGCAAGGAGTCAGATTCAAACCTAAAGTGCGTCCAATTATTCTAAAGCTATTTCACTACCAACATAGCCCCAATAAGTTCTGAGTGGATAGTATAGCAGTAAAATCAATGAAGTCGCCACCGAGTATTTATTTATCCTATAAAAAGGAAAGGAAAATCATCGAAGAAAAACCTAAAGGGGAAATCAAGATCTTGCGACCGAGAGATTGAGTAAGGGAGTCGATTACGCGAGGGGAAGGTATTAGCACCCCACACGTCCATAGTACTCTACGGGATCCACTCTCGTTATTCTAATCAAAGGGTGTGTTCACTCTAATGCTTAAGGGTTATAAGCTAAGAGAGAATGCATGCAAAGAAAAGAGAAAGAATGCAGGGAAAATAAAGTTGTACTCGCTTGGGCCCTACCCCAATGCCTACGTATCCTTTTTGAGGAATCAGAGCTACCGTAGTTCGGCTCATATGTTTTGTTTGTTTGTATTTTTTTAAATGAACAATGTTGCATTCGATCATTCCACCGCTGCTCGACCTTTGGAGACTTATGACCTGTAGTGGAAAGGAGCTAACATGCTCTTAGAAGAGAAAAGCTGAATGGCGAAAAGAAATGGATTGGTTGGTATTTTTTACCATGAAATTTTTTTTTGTATGATTAGCATTTTTTATTCATTTGCCAAGAAAAAGCAGTTTTAGTTTTAAATACAATTATGCAAAAATGGGAAGAAACATCTAAGGGAGACTAACCTATCTCTAATATAATGTTATCATACAGTGAGGGATCCTACCTAAGTTAGCATGTCAAAGAAAGTCTAACAAAACTATCCTATAGGAAACATGCACTGAGAGCGAAGTCGTGATCTCATTTTCTAAATTGAGTGACTCATCGATCAACAAGAAATAAAGGAAAGCGATAAAATCCTATATGGAGCATGCACTGAGAGCGAAGTCGTGATCTCAATTTCTAAATTGAGTGACTCATCGATCAACAAGAAAGAAAACAAACACAAGCACAACACATATAAGAAATAAAGTGCGGAATGCCTGCTACAGGTTTTTAAACAGCGACTTCGAGCGCATGCTCTTTATTTCCTACTTCTCATGATATCTAGAAAAGCGATAAATACGGAAATATAACTTGGAAGCAGTATAATACCAAATGAACAAGTACGTCCACAAAAAGCGCAACCAAAGTAAAGAAATCCGAGATACTTCGTACGAGCTGGTATCAACAAACAAACAGTCAGAGGTCGAATATTTGGAATAGGTGTCGAAACTTCGTCGATGTGAAAATAAATCACAATCGGAATCCAAAACACATTCGCATATCAAATAATGAACCTGCATAAAACTCAGCTCAACCAACAAAGGTGAATCACAAATTTCAAGTCATTGAAAAATTCAGAAATAAATTTTCTAAAAAAATCAAATGAGAAATCCAACAAATTTATTGATTTTTTTTTAGTTTGTTACCTAAAATGATGAAAGACATTCCCAAGATCTATATTTTTTATTGTTTTTAGTATATGTATTTTCCTATTATTTTTATTATAAAAGAAATTTAAACTAAAAAAAACAAAAAAAACATAGGAAGTATAATTGATAGGGGGTGTTATGCTGAAGTCAGGGGATTTGTGTCCAGCCATTTACTTCAGGCGTAAAGCCCATGTGGAGAGTCCAGAGTGGTGTTTTTGTCTTTTAACTCTGAATGGTGCAAAAATGGTGTTAATGGGCTTGTAGAAGGGTGGTTCAGTCCAAACTGCAAGGCTCCATATAAGCCTTTTTCCTCAGCAAGGCAAATTAATAACTCGTCCAAAAAAGTATCCAATGGACTCAACAAAAAAAAAACAGTTGTCGTAGATCCATAATCCAAATTTCAACTAGATTTTCTATATTTCAATATTATATATAAAAAAACAAATCGAAGAAAAATAGAAAATTTGTAAAACGGTGGCGTATGGATAGGGTTCACAAGATTGTGATGTTTCAGATTCTTCAAAAACTCTTCTCAAAATCATTGTGCCGCAACTGCCTCTTCTTCGGCGATCTCCACTGTTGAAGCTCCATGGATTCTTCCCCTCCGTCGATTTCAGTCTTTGTCTCACTTCTGTCCCAGCGTCAACCTCGTCGTCTTTCTCACTCGCCGCCGATAATCTGAATCCAACATTCTTTTGTTCTAATTTTCCTTTAATCCTCCTAAATCTAACAACATCTTCTAAAACCCTAGGTCTTTCAAAGCTAGATTAAGCGCTTCATACGATACTCCAGACTGCAATTGGTTAGGGTTATCACTTTGTTCGCCGACTTCTACCAAATCTCATCAAGAAACGGACGGAGAAGTGAAGAGAAAACACATACCTTCAATGAATGTGATGGAAGCGAAGAAGAAGATAGCAGGTATGTTGTTTCACTCTTTCTTCCTTGATTGACTTGCTGTGAGCGTTCTGCTTCATCTCTTTCTTTTCCGTGTTAGACTTTTCTTTCTGGTCCGTGTATTGTGGTTGTTGTCATTGCGTTGTGAGTGCTTTGCAATGCTCTGTTGCTGAGGGATGAAGATTGAGGAAGATTGAATGTGCGTGAAGATAAAGATGGAGGAGATGGAGAGAGATTACAGAGTGAGTTGAAAGGTGAGTATCACGATTTTTTGTTATCTTTCTATGAATGAATCGTGAAAAAAATGAATCCCTCTTATCTCTCTGGTCAGTTCTGTTATATCATTCTGTTAGAAGATTGTTGAGAATTGGCTGGGAATCCTTACAGTTAGGATCAGTTAGAAGCTGTTATAGGTTTTTTTTATAGTTAGAGCAGTTGGCCAGTGAAGTTAGAGGTGGTTGGAAAATTTGTTAGGACTGTTAGTTGGGGGTTAATTGACCGGGTTCTGTTAGAAAACAGTTGGAAGAGGGTTTAGAAAATAGTTAAGTTTTTGTTTGGACTGTTAAGGGAATTGGTTAGAGAGGGTTAATTGGTTGTTTGTTATAAGGGCTGTTAGGAATTAGTTTCAGTAGTTTGGAAGTTTCTGTTATAGTAGTTAAGAGGCTTTTTGGACAGCTGTAAGTTCATGACAGTTTTAATTCTGTTTGGAAAGGCAGTTAGGAAATGTTTTGGGATTTTGTTAAAATTTTGTTGGATGTTGGTTTAATTTCTGACTTTTCTGAAATATGCAGGGCATTTTAGGAATGCAGTAATATGGCATTTTTCTTCATTTGGATTTTCACACATTCTAGGATTTGTATGGGCTGCTGTAACTGGACTTCCGTGTGTTAAAGGCTGAGGGAGAGATTAAGTCTTGCAGTTCAGGAGAGGATGTCACACCTCCAAAGAAGTTCAACAAGCATTTCAACTGCACTGCTGCTGATTGAATTGCAATGCTGGAATTTAGTCCCAAAAGGGTGTGGCCTAGTTTTCTCAAAGTGGGCAAACTCTTGTCCGTAACCAAAGTGCAGTCTGACAGAGAAAGAATCTATAGATTTATCTGATTTGAATGTGCCAGGGCTGCAAGTTTTTTTTTTCTGTGATGTTTCGTACAGGTTTTAGGAAAGGAAGGCGCTATATCGATAGCGATATGAGGCATGAAGATTATCGAAGCA